GCAGATACCGAAACTATGCGCTGGTAATGATATAATTAGGGGGTCGGAGATTTCTGCGTGCGGACTTCAAACGCCCGCGGAGCCGGCAGCCTCCCCGTAGCCATCTTGACCGGAGCAGACATTTTTTGTTCAATCACCGCGTACAGTAACTAGAAAGGGGGAACAGAAGGTCATTGTTCCCTTTTCAAAATACCAGTCCCCTCCTGGCCTTGGGCATGCCGCAGGAGGAAACGTTATGAAACGGCAGAAATACAGTTTTAATACAGTCACACAGAAGTCCGTTCTCCTGGCTGAAAGGGGGCACCACGCTTTTTTTTTTTTTTTTTAAAGAAAGTTTCAGAACTTTCCCAGGTACCTGTCAAAATTTTATTAGACCTTTTTAGGCCGCTGAACATACAGTATTTTAAATAGGTCCTTGTAAACGTTGACGCTTGTGTTCACGTTTCCTTTTCTGCACAGGTCAAGGCTAGTAGGCTCGAAATGGACTTTTAATCTGTTTTATGTATACTTTCAATCTGTATGTGGAATTTGTCAGCCTGGGGATACGCAGGCGTCGCCACCTACGACCGGTGAACGACAGAGCGATCTTGGAAAGAGGAGGAAAAAGCAGATTACTGTTGAGCAGGGTTCTTCCTTGAAGCAGGAGGCTGGGTTAGGGCCTCGGACTCAGACGGGACAGCAGTTGGAAACAGGAGCAAGACCTCTGGCTTTGTCTGTTCTCGATGCCAAAGATCGGTGCTTCGTCTTGGGCTGTTTTTTCCCAGAGCGAAAGCGTTCGCAGCCCCGGTGAAAAGTGAGCACGCCGTGTGGTGGCCTGGAATTTGGACAGATAATTAAATGCGACGCTTTACTGAGGCATTCACAGAACAGGGGAGGAAGGAAGGTGGACGTAAAGCCACAGCGCCAGTGTTTAATTTCAGAGTGGTTTCACTCCCCAGACAGATCTTCAGATTGGGAGCCGGGGATAAAGGAAGGTGGGCGCGCTTGTCGGCGGGGCGACAGTGACCAGGGCGCGCCAGCTCGGATGGCGCAGTGGTTGACCTCCAGAAACTAGACGTGGATGCACAAGCCTCCAATCTCGCATGGTGACAAGTGTTACCGGAGCCTTTGCAACTCACAAAATACGTTTTTTATAAAGAAAACTTTTAATCACTTCCTGTAGAAAAATTTGAGGTTTCCTTGAGGAGTTTTCATTGACCCAGCAGAGGATTTGCAGTTTCGGTGTCTCCCCGTCTAGGTCACATGTTAAATAGCATGTAAAGCTGAGGAGGGGGAGGAGCGCTTCGCCCTGCAGCTCTGCGCCCCCCTCCCCCTTTTTATGACTTTCCATTTGGGCTGAAAGAAATTGACTTTGGCAAGCAAACCACTAATTGTAAACTGCCTAGTTCCTGTTTTACAATATACTGACTAAAAGCTCCTCTGCATGAAAAGATCTTTATAGGCAAAGTTTGCCTTTTCTAGAGAGGTTGCAAATAGCTGCCTAGTTTCATAGTTTTAAAACCTCCTGACCTGGGCACTTTCTAGATTGTTGTGTTTCTAGTTAATAACTTTATAAGGTGTTACCTCAGGCTCTTAAATCTTGGCCCAGTCCTTCGGGATAGTAAACAATTCAGTAGTTCCGATCAAATATTTATACTGACAAAAGCCTAGCATTTTTACGCTGTATGGTTGTGTAGGATTGAAATAAATAAATAATGTGACTTAAAACCTTATGGTCGAAGAAACTGTTAGTGATGACTTTTCCTTCCAGAAAAAAATATTTTTCGTTTCTCTGTACAGCCCCAGAAATCTGCTGTGAGGCTTAGTACTTTCTAAAGTGATACTTAATTAATCAAACTTGAAGCTCTGGCCTCTTTGAGGCCATTTCCAGTGTATGTGGGGTGCGATGGTAAGCGCTCACCTTGGGTCTAAAATTAGACCCTTTGAACTTGAGACTTAGCAGAGCTGCTCTATCTGGTCTCAGGGTTTGATGTGGTTTTCATTGTTTCCAGGAGAAATTCGATGCTACTGCGACGCGGCTCACTGTGTGGCAACCGGTTACATGTGCAAGTCTGAGCTCAGCGCCTGCTTCTCCAGACTGCTGGACCCTCAGAACACAAACTCCCCGCTCACCCACGGCTGCCTGGACTCTCTCACGCGCACAGCGGACGTCTGCCAAGCCGCGCAGGCCCAGAACCACTCGGGCAGCGCCGTGCCCACGCTGGAGTGCTGTCACGAGGACATGTGCAATTACAGGGGGCTGCAGGACGTGCTCGCCCCGCCCAAGGGGGCGGCCGCAGGTGGGTGGAAGCCGGCCCTGGAGGCCCGCCTGACGCGCAGCCCTGGGACAGCCTCGGCTCTGTGTGTCTGCTATTGATTTTGTTTGTGTAATTAGAGACAGCGGAGGGAGAGCAGGGCTCACTGCAAAGATGGGTTCCTGTTGACGGGCTTTATGTCTGCCGAGCTTTGCATGTCTGTGTGCATAATAGGCTTTGCCTGTTTTTTCAACATTTTGAAGGCATTTAAAAAGGCCATTCATTATATCTGCAAAATGATGGCCTGTAAACAATTGTTTGTAAGCTGCCTTGGAGAGTTTCGCAATATTTATTTTCTGAGTAGATTTAATTACGAGCTATTTTTGAAGGCTGTTTGCTCAGTTAAAAGGGGCAGTAGTCCCGAATGCCTTCCATGAACCCGCAGTTTGATCATTCTGTTTGTCCTCCCTTAGGGCAAGGAAACAGGTACCAGCAGGACGGGAGCAGAAACCTTATCACCAAGGTGCAGGAGCTGACTTCCTCCAAAGAACTGTGGTTCCGGGCGGCGGTGATCGCCGTGCCCATTGCTGGTGGGCTCATTTTAGTGTTGCTTATTATGTTGGCCTTGAGGATGCTCCGAAGTGAGAACAAGAGACTGCAGGACCAGCGGCAGCAGATGCTGTCCCGTTTGCACTACAGCTTTCACGGACACCATTCCAAAAAGGGCCAGGTGGCCAAGTTAGACTTGGAGTGCATGGTACCGGTGAGCGGGCACGAGAACTGCTGTCTGACCTGTGATAAAATGAGACAAGCAGACCTCAGCAATGACAAGATCCTTTCCCTGGTCCACTGGGGCATGTACAGCGGCCACGGGAAGCTGGAGTTCGTATGACGGAGTCTTATCCCACCTACACTTCTCCAACGCTTGAAGGCCTTGAGTTCTGCTGGACAGGAGCACTTTATCTGGAGACAAACCGATTAATCTAATCACCTTCCAGAGGTGAAATGACCTCTGCAGACAGAACCTTGGAATTTCTTCTGAAGGATTATTTGCACAGACTTGAGTACAGTCAAATGTATTATTTGCTTTAAAATTATAAAAAGCAAGAAGACTGTGTACACACTGTTACCAGGGTTACGTGCGTCGGAGGAGCTGGGATCGAGCACCTAAGTAAACTAACTGCTCTGTGGAAGCTCCTACATCCTGATTTGTTGTAAAGATTTTTAAAATATATATATTTTTTGTCTGAAATTCAGTGGTGTCTTTCATAAACTAAAATACCAAAGTTGGGGGCCGGGTAAGCTGAGCGTGTAGTTCAGTGGTAGAGCCTTGAGGCTCTGGCTTCCATCTCTAGTACCCTAAACGGAAACAAAACCAAATCTGGGAAGGTCAGGAGAGTACATATTAATTATATAAGGCTTGACTTTGCAAGATAATTCTGGTTTTACCTTTCATCTAAGAAATATTGTTATTTGGTGTTGGGGATTAAACCCAGGGCCTTGTGCACGTTGAGTACACATTACCCCCAGCTGCTCCTCCAGCCTAAGAGAATTCTTAAACTTACTTACGTTAGGTCAGGTATGGTTGCATTTCTGCAGTTGCCATAGCAAAGGTAATATTTATCAGTTTGATCTGCAGTATCTTTAAAAATGTGTCCACCTCCTTTTACAGTTAGTAATAATCTATTGTCTTAAACCATTTTTCCCAGTGTTGGGGATTGAACCCAGGGCTTTTGTACCAAACTACATCCCTGGCCCTTTTTTCATTATTTAATTTTCAGACATGGGCTCCCGAAGTTGCTAGGTTGCCCAGGCTTAGCTTGAAGTGGCATCTACCACCCCCGTCTACTACCGTCTAGGATTGTAGGTGTGCACCACCATAGGCGGCTTTCGAAGTTAGTATTTTGACTTTGAAATTAGCCAAACTTTACTGACAATGCCTGGTTTTTAAATTTTGTTCTTTAACACTTGCACTTTTTTTTTCTCTTTTCTGTCTTTAGAAGGTTTTAAGTAGGGAACACTGTATACATAACACAATACTATGGGTTTCTTGCCTCCAAATTATCCATTCATTAATATAACCAAATACAATACGGGCTTTGGCCAGTCACTAGTGCAGGTAAGGAGGATGCGTATTTGGTAATTCGGCCCAGTTGAACTTAAACCGGTACTGTGCCTCTGTGCTTGCCCCCACCCATGTAGATCTTTGTTTCTTAAGTGTGAGAATCATTTGCTGTGATAAGTTTTTAAAAATTCTTTTGTATATTTGAAATTTTTGCTTAAAAGGTAACATACAGCCTGCATATTTGAGGCTGAAATTTTTCTTGTATTAATCTTAAACATTTTTGCATACTTTCACCAGAGTGTTTTATGGTTCAGGCATAATTAGGGTTCCATAAGAAGGCAGAGTAGCCAAGATCATGAGAGAATCTTAGATTAAAAGGCCTAGTACAAAAATGAAAATAGACATTATTCAACAGTTGGTAGATCACTGCCCCAAACAAATTAGGAAATGGAACAAATGCACATTTTAATAAGTGATAATTTGTATTGTGCTTTTTGAACATGCATGCTTTGTGAGAGGTATTTTATGTATTCTTTTTTTGGGGTCCTAACCCCCTAGCCCAAGAGGCTAAGCACGTGAAGCATGTTAAGAACATGTTAGCGCATGTTCTGCCTTGTGGCTGTACCACCGTCCTCCACAAGGGTGTCCGTTTTTGAGGGAGTCAAAGAACTGTTGAACCTAACCCTTTAACTGGTTAGAGAGAGAACTGATAAAAATTGGCAGTGGTGCAATTTCTAGCCTTCCTTCCACCGTGGCTCTTGACCAAATCCCGGTCGTTCTGTTGCTTAAAGATTGAGTGCGTCGTCATGCTAGGGCGGTGACTCCTTAGGCAGCCTGCCTTTGTATGAGCTATGTGTGATCGAGTGTTCCTCCTCAGCGTGTTCCTCTCAGCGTGTTCCTCGGGAAGTAACAATGAAGAATGCAAATGTATATGCAGGGACGCATTTTGAAATCAGTAAACCCCACCGTCCGGGAAAGTCTTGGGCCTGGGCTGGGGTTTCCAGAAATGGAATGGGAGGTGGGTGAAGCGACTGTTCCCCGTGTTTGTCGATCCATCTTGTTCCTGCCGTACACCCGAGGTGTTCCCGCTGCCCTGCCCACGGGCCAGGGACCTGCTGCGTCTCAGACCGCAGGGGCTCACACTCTAGCCGCCTAATAGACCAGCTCTGTCTTAACACAAACCCTGTCCCGTTAGGTAGCACTCTTTCAGCATTCGCACTTGTCTTCACCATGTAACTCAGAAAAAAACTCTCTACTTTGAGTTTTACTAAGAGCTGCATGCAGACCTGACTTTGGCTCCCCTGAGACCCTAGCGGAGACAGGACTCCTTAGCAAGAATGACAGAGAGCTGGGTGACTTCTCTGTCCTAGAGGTGTGTGGCGTGGGGTGCAAGGCTGGGTTAATCACGAATGGCCCTTGCTCGGTGCTGACGTAGAACACCCCCATTTCCTTCTCACTGGAAACTTGCCCAAACTAGAGACAGCTGGGACTAAACTTGCCGCGCTGCCTCTGTATCGACGCCCCTTGCATCCTCCCTTTGAAAAGGTCGATCCGTGTGGCGATGTCTTTTATGTTATGTCCCCTCCTCTTATTTTGAATGGCTCAGAGGCTTCCTAGAAATTGACTGTGTGTCTCTAATTTCTGTTGAACTGATTTTATTAAAAACATTGCACCATAGGGGGTTTGACCTTCTAAAATACCAAACATGTCTGCTTTAGAAAATCTCAAAGCTCTCCTCTGAAGGGCTTGTAAATCTGGGTTCAATCTGGGCTGATTATAGGCTAAAAGCTTGAAAGCGGTGGCATCTAGTGTCATGACTCAAGGGCTGGTCTTGCTGGGGCCTGGACAGCTTTTTTTCTTACAACCTCTAATTGATCCTTTTCTCTGCCTCTCAGCCTATTTAACTTATTTAACTTTAAACCTCCAAAGCTGTGTGAACCCAACCTAGGCAAATTATGTAAACCCTCTGAGAGCTCAGCGTTGCCTGTTAAATGGGGGCAGTGATTAAAAACTTCATAGGACTAGGATTATTGTGAAAAGGTATTGTAGTGCAAGACTTTACCTTCAACCCTCAGCACCAAAAAAAGTGAAGTATTGTAGCTGTTTCTATTACCATAGAGTGATATCAGATTGCCTGCAGCTGTAGCTCAGCGGTATATTGCTTGCCTGTGCAAGACCCTAGGTTTGATCTAAAGAGCAAAAACCAACCCCCGCAAACTCAAAAATCTCAGATGAATATTCCTTAAAATTGGAGACCTTGTGTTCATTTTTACACGGTGGCTATTTTTGCTTTACTTTTTAAGTCTTTGGATATTTGTGATTTGTAGGCCCTTGATTACCTGCAAATTGCATTTAGCATTTTTGTTTACTTAGGGGTTTTTCGGTACCAGGAATCAAACTCAGGACCTTGCACTTGCCAGGCAGGCGCTGTGCCACCGAGCTATACCCCTGCTCCACATTTAGCATTTTTAACTCTCAGTTTACTGCTTCTACATGGGCTTTTCTTGTATCTACTTAATATATTAGTTTGTAATTCCTTTCTTTTGGAATAATGTGCATGGTTACCGATAATATTTTAAACACATGTACTTATTTCACGCGGTGGTACAGCGGTACCTCAGTTCATGAAGCTTTTGTTTACAAGCAATTTGGTCATGAACAGAAGTGTTTGGAAAAGTCTAGTTTTTGTTTGCAAACTCTGCATTGGGTGACAAACACGACCGTGACCATGTTTCCCACACAAACACAAACACGGACCTCTTTTCCAAAATGGTAGAGTAAGTGAAGTTTGAACTGAGGTGCCACCGTGCGTGACAGAACGATGTTCTCTTAGCGTGTCAGCCGTCGGCGTGCCTAATCTTCACAGTGAGAGACGGGAACTATTTCCGTGGTCCTTCACGACTTGTGCCTAATGGATACATGCCGACCAAATGCCACTAGTAGTTATAGTGTGTCCTATCGGTGCCCCTAGCAAGAGGGAGTCATACCACAACTGGTTTTTGGAACTTCAGGAATTTTTTTTTCTCGGGGGAGACGGGTGGCTGGTTAGTGAAGAATCATTTAATTTTTGTGGAGAGAGTTAATTTAGTTTGTTGCTCTGTGGATCACGATTCAAATGGAAACGTTAACTGCTCTAGATACCCACTTACTCCCTTCCGCCTTCCTAATTCATTCTGTCGGTGTTGCTCTCCGTCTGCTGACTGCAAAGGACAGATCACTGGTCTGAGAGTTTGAGATCTCGTGAAATAGTGAAATGAAACCCACTTTCCACCAGAGCCACCTCTTTATTTGGAAGTACAGCGTACACCCCAGCCCTGGGCACAGGGATCTGCTCACTGTACTGTCGCACGGGGTGCTGTGGTCCGCTTTGCTGTCTTTTCAGATATGTGGAGGTAGAACTTGGAAGGTAGCAGAACCGAGTGTAACCAGAACTTTATTTCTTGAGGCAAAGCAGCAGTTTTCCAGCGGATCTTCATTTTTAGCATTGTAACGTATTTACTGCTAGGGAACCTCAACCTGCCAAAGTGCAGCACGCCTTACCCATTGCACGAGTGTGAAAAGGGTAACAAGAAAGGCATTGATACGCAATCTTGGGAGATGCTTTGGTAAACAGATCCTATCTCAAGGCTTTTGTCATTCCTCAAGACTGCTAGAGATTCGTTTTACCTAGTAGCCAATAGCTAGATCCCCTCTAGGGGGTATTTCGGTTTGTGATTAGCTACCTGCGTCTAGCAGATTAGATTGATGTTGGACTAAATCTGAGTAGAACCCAGGAATGATCAGCTGATAACTCTGTATTGTAAGCCATTTCTATGTTACGCTAATCAAATAGGCTTTGTAAGCCCGGGATAATTCTGCATTTAACAATTCTCAATGCGGCGCAAAAGTAGATGTTGGAACTTGTGATTTGTTTTTAGACAAGTGAAGACTGAGTTAGTTTGATGAATTAATAAATGCAGAGGCTGTCGTGTAAATTTACTCTGAAAGATCTCGCGTTACAAACCTAATGGAACAAAAATTGCTTTAGCAGTTAAACCCAAGAGAAATACAAAAAGCTCTTTATCCCTGGTCTCTTCCCCTTGGAATTTCCCTAGGGAACGGATGAGGACAGTGGAAAAACACCACACTTCTCAAGGCAGTTTCTTACATTTTAAGTGTTAGGTGTCCACGTTGAAGCATCTTTTACT